AGAAAGTGCAGTAAGGCTTCTGTAGAGCCATTAGTTACATGAAAGGACTGGTAAAAGACGAGAAGTTAAGTACATACTTGCCTTTAGCTAGCAAGCTACTAAACAGACAGTATATCCATGGAGAGAGCTAGCAAGCACCAGCCAGTATGCAGTAAATTCAAACATTTTTATTTCATAGTAATTCACCCCATGTAGAAAGTCTACTTGAAATAGTTAAGTTATAGTGAAAGAAGCAAGTTCAAGGTTTCTGTTATTTGATTTTGACTGCACAGTTATTCTTCACAGGTCTGGTACTGAGCTTAAAAGATTTTGTTTTTCAGCTACTTACCAGCCAGACTCTGAAGTGCTAGAGCAGAACATTGTCAAGGCATACATTTGCCTCAGTCTGAATTCTTGAATTCCCCTTCTCCAAGGTAACTCCTGTGTCAGGAATGTGCCTTTTGAGAAGCCAGGAAAGTCTGCCAAAAACTGATCAACCTCAAGCCTCCTAACAACCCAAACCATGCACAAGCTTGATGGTGAATGCATTTGATTTTCACTGGGGAGATCTCTAATAAATAAATTATCTCTAATAATTCTCAAGCCACTCACAGCTACCAAAGTTGCCTGTTGTAAAATAGCTTGACATAATTGAATTCCCAGATGGAGTTTCAGAAGCAAAACCAGACTTTTTCTACAGCAATGTCTCCTCAGCAGAATATGACCAGCAACTGGAACTGAGAAAATGGAAGAGTACCTTCTTTGCTTTCAAGGAAACCTTCAAAGTAAAGTTTGAGAAAGAGTGCCATACAATTCAAAGACAGAAGACAAAGACAGAATTAACAGAAGGGGCCAAAAAGCTTGGACTAGGAGAAACTCATGATCAGGACTAGAGTGGAAGGAGACCAGCTCACTAAGGAGGAAGGCAGCTGGTGAGGGAAGTTTGGACAGATTAGATACTGTAAATAACAAACTTGTTAAAGGAAATGGGCATGTGCAAAGAAATTTTAATGCTAACATTTGTTAAGTTTTGAGTAACACAGTGGGCATTTTTAAGTGTTTTTGGAAGATGCTATTCAACCATGAACAGCATCAAACCAGGAAGTCTACTCAGCCACTCAAGAATTCCAGTCTATGAACTCTTGGCGGAAGATGCTACAGAAAACTTCAGTGAAAGGTTCCCCGCAGTGGAAGCACAGGACAGAACCAAAGAGAGATGTAAAAGAAGCTTTTGCAGAGCCTTGTCATTTCACAAAAGATCTACTTTCAGGTATTTTGTACATGGGAACTGACAGGTCTTTCATAGCCAGATTCAGTTATTTCAGCATAGCATTTAAGCTGTGCAGTTCATCTGCAAGTCAAGAAACAGTTCCCAAATAAACCAGCTGTTTCAGGATTAAACACTATTCTGTCATTTACTGGAAATTACTTACAATCTTACTGCACTCCCTATATTCACCCTTTTTCTTTTTATTTTTTTTTTTTAGAAGATTACTGCAATTATGAGCATTTCACTTCATTCTAATAACAAGAATTTCTGCTCACATTTACACAAATATAAATCCAAACAAACTCTAGTGAATTTGACACAGTACCTAGATCTCTATTGCTGGAAAGGTATTACTAAGTTCAAAATAATGAGATATGCCAGAGTTTTCCTTGTTAACTGCCCTTCGTGCAAATATAAAATATTTGTTCAGTGATATGCAATTGTTAATGCTATTGTTGCAGCTGCAATGTGCTCTGTTTATATGCCTGGGAAGTGAAACAAGGAAATGGAAAAAGTACATTTTAATAAAAAATAAAAACTTTTGGGGAAAACTGGCCTGGTGGTTAAAAAAAAAAAAAGAAAAAAAAAAGAGTGGGAGTCATTAGTTCCCAGTACTCTCACAGACTTTGGGTAACTCCTTTCTTGGTACTTTGGTCCTCCTCATCTAAGAGCTGCGTGTTATAAAGCTTATCTATTAACAGGAGCAAGATAAGCTTTCTTCTGCTGACACAAACAAAACTAAGTTGGAAAATACCACTTTTGTGAGAAAAATAAATGGGAAGATTTTCAGGACAGAGTTTTTTCAAACAATGTAAAACTTCCCTCTGTAACTATAGCTCAGCATCTTGTTTTTCTCTCCCTAGTAGCGTAGTTTTCCTCTGCAAAAACCAAAAGAATACACACCAGCTAAAGCAGAAAGTCCTCATGCTTGGTTTGCCATTGCCCAGGGAACTGGTAAAATTAAGGGGTTTTTTAACTCTAAAGAGAAAGGGCAGAATTTCTCTTGTGATTTCAGATTTTATGCACTCTGAAAACAAATTCTTCTAGGCTTTGAAAACGCACGTTCCAAGAGATGAAAGCCCCCAGAACCAAAGTTGGCCAATCATTCAGAAAGCAACCTCATGCCACATGGCAGATCTGAAGGTCTTGGAGACAGTCACTCCTTGACATGCTGGTAATGGAACAGAATGAGTAGATTAGCAGTGCATTCAGTCAAGATTCTTGATATTAAGTCTCATGTAGTGACAGCAAGAAACACCTGATTCTGAGACATCACCAACACCGTCTTACAATAATCCTAGAAGAAGCAACAAGCACTGGTTGATGTCTAACACTGCTGCTGAGAAGCAGAGCCACCTTTTAAAGGTTGAGCTACACTTCTCTGTTAAAACCAATCACAAATGCATTACTTACTTTGTCTAATTTGCTTAATTAAGCAAAGTTGGATTTCCCACCTTATGAATCAGTGTTATACACATGCAATACAGTCAGAAAGGGGGATTAAACCACCAGCTTTACCATCAAAGCATTAAGCAATCATGTAAAATCATTAATCATCACTCATGTAAAAATCTGCTACAAATGGACACACACACCAGAGCCAGCCATTAAGAGAAGACAGTTGCACAGACTAAGCCAGCAAGTTCCAAGTGCTAGGAATGTTAAAACAATTAAATCCAGGACAAGTCAAGAATGCTGGGCTTCACTTTGGCAATTCCAACTTCTAGTGGCATCAAAGTGTGAGCAACACAGTATCTTCCAATTTTGCCAAATACATACATTATTCTCCCAGTGGATTCTTCCACTGTAATCACACACATCAAGCACATGGGCAAATCAGGTTTTCTGCTCTGAAAGAGTAATAAACAAAAAGTAAAGGAAACAATTCCCTATACTAGTTCAGATAAGACAGTGAACTAAGATACCGTATTTCAACATGGAAAGTGAAGTAAGTCCTCCTAATGTGGAAGTGAAACATTTTTTATTAGCAAAAGGGGCAGGTGGGATGGCTCAGATAAATAAAAAAAATAATATTTTGAGACTGACAATTGTGAGAAGCTCCACCCAAAAGGGGATGTGAGAATACAAGAGGTAGGGTATGAAGGGCGGAAAAGAACCTTTCCTGAAGATCTGCTGCTCTAGACAAGAACTGTATTGTCAGGCTTAGTCTTGCAATGGAGAGATATGAAGGGGATGAAGAAAAATGTAAAAAAAAAAGTTCTATATACAGGTAGCATTTTCAGTCTGTTTCAGCTTGTAAATGAACTAGGATCGAACAGGCAGAACCAACATACAAAGACACAAATTGAGGTTAACCTGGAGAAGCAGGTGTAGTGCCACTGACTTCTTTCACTTTTTTTCTAGTGGAGGAAGAGTCTCATAATCACATTTTCAATATTTTCACAAGTGTAAAAGACTGAATGCATTCCTAGCTACTAAGAGATGTTTTGAGTTCAACACTGGCTCCTTCCTGCATTCACCATACAGATCTCACATAAGCTAACAGTGCTTTGTCTCCTTGATTTATGAAGTGGAGCTGACTTGCTGTACTTTATTTCAGGATAAGTGAAGAAGACATTTATGACCTCTCATGTTTTGGGTTTGAAGGCATTGTTGTAAAAATTCTGAATTTGGAAGTATAACATTTGGAAGGTAGCATTTTATATTCCCTAGATTAATTTATTTCAAAACTATTATTTCCAGTACTGGTCACAGTAATGTGACCAATTCACTTTACCCTATAGACACACAGTCCAAAGCTAAACTGGTCAGTCACGTCTTTCATTTTCCACTCTAAGATTTACATTATGATTCAATAAACTTGCAATATTCCTTTCCTGGCTTAACAAGAAATATATTCATACATTTGATTTAATAAATAATCTATTTGTTATATAACTATTTGTGAATGCCAAAAAGCTGAAAATATCACTGGTGTAAACCAAATTCCTTCTATCAAGTTAGCTCCCAGAAATAAATTTAAGGCAGGATTCATGTTTTAGACTTACACGTGTTTTTTATTGCTTTTAGATAAGAAAAGGAGGTGCAGTCTATAGCATTAATACAATATTATTAATAAGCCAAATATACTTGGGTTTGATACAATTTAAAAATTGCAACATGTTTTTTTGTTTTATCTCCAAAAAACTTGGGAAAGGAGAGACAAGCATAATTTGCAAACATTTTAAGGTACTACAGCTTTCTGATTAATAAAATCTCATTTTAATTTAATGTCCTACCCTGTAGCTACAGACATTGCACTGAAAATAAACTGGATTTTTTTTTAAACTAAATTACTGAGTAACTCAGTTTAAGGCACTAGCAAATATGTGTCATGTTTCAAACACCTGGAAATGAACACATCTGTATGTATTCCACTGAACCAGGCCAGTCACAGGCCAACTCCTTACCCTGCCATTCAGAGTTTACATGACACTTCTCATTTATTTAGTTGAGGTGACAGATGAACTCTGCTGCTATGGCTGTCCTAGTGGTAACAGTACTAGTTAGTCATCCTGCACACATCACTTTATCCAGCCCCAGGTGGGAAAGCTCATGAATCTGCTTAGAAGTAGCTGCAAAAGGCAAAAAAAAAAAAAGTGAAAAATCATAATTGAATGTAGAAACTCTCATATATGTGTATTGGTTGCTCACATAAGTGCATGATTATGAAAAGTAGGAAAAATCTGTTAAGATTTATTTTTATCCAGAGTTGTTTCCACATCCTGTACCCATCCCTTCCCCAGGGTAATCAAGTCAGTGGTTGACACATCTGAGGCAACTGGATTTCAGTTTCTCTGAAGCATCCAGCTTTGTTCTGCTCCCTCTGTTGAGAAGAACTGCTAAGTCTGAAGTGTGTCTAGTAGGTCAGCTTCAGAAGCTGGTCAGTCCTGGCTTCTCCTGACACTCTGGACACCTGAGTTCTGGAATCCAAATGAAAAGGATATTAATCAAAGAATGCCAAAACGACTTTTCCCTTTTTGATGAAGACTGGTCAGGAGATAGTTTTCCAGGCATTTTTGTTTACTCAATCATGAATGATTTGCATACCCTTTGGAGAGACAGGATTGGAATTCCCATTTGTGCAATTCACAGCATTTCCAGGGGTTCTTACCAGGCAAGGACGGTGAGGCTTCTTTTCCAGTGAAGATCGCAGATCCAGACTGCTGAGCATGGGGCTGCTGGACGTGATGGTGTTTTCCCAGCCAGCCAGGCAATGCTGTGAAAAGAGATGGGAATGCTGCATTAGAGTGCTTTACCCTTTTCATTTACTGGGGCCCATTAGTTCTACACAATACCTTCTGCACAGGGAGGTTTTAGCAGGTAATTCACTAATTTTTGAGGAGTTTTATATGACTAACAGGAAGGAGAACTCTCTAATGAAGCAAAACTGCATTACTGACTGTCCCCTCTTCCACCTTACACTGGCTAATTATTCCTAATCTTTTGCTTTGTGAACTCAAGCACCCGACCTCTCTGAACCTGCCTTAACTGACTCATCCAGTTCCCTAAACCTCAAAACCAGGCTTTTTCCTACCTCTTTCCTGGAAATCTCTGGGCCAGGGCCCAGGGCTTAGTAATATTGTCTGCTGCATTGCCTAGGGGCTAGAATACAAACTCCACAAAACTAGTTCTAAATTCAACCTTGCCACTGTTGACTTTGCCTGGCCCTCTACACTGTGAATACTTTACAGAAGTTTGTCATTCAGACTCCCTAACACCTGTGGAAAGAAACATAGGCACTTGTAGGCACCATTTATTGTGTTGAAAGGTCAATGCCTGAAACAAGTCAGCTGAATCGTGCTCCAGAATTATATGGCACATTCCTTTTCTCAATGTAAAGCATCTGGAGATAACATGATGTATTTTATGCCAGTTTAAACAAAGATGTGAACCAGCCTACACACACACCAACGGCTTTTCTTGCTATCTCAGTAAGGCAGATCAGAAATGTTCGTGGAAACCCAGCCAGGGGGGTAAGTCCCAGATCCTCCTCCCTTGCTGTGCAGGAACAATGCCCAGCCTGGACTGTGCCACCAGTATCAGCAAGAAGACAGCAACTTACCAAAGGCAATGCCAGATTGTCTGCTGGTTCAAAGCTCCTCCTGCGATGGGCTCTGTATTTGTAGGCAGGCTTAAGTGTAGACCTGGGAATGCTGACCCTGCAATCACACAAGGGAAGTCACTGTCTACACCTTCCACATGGCAGGACAAATCTGCATGCCTTTCCAACTCATAAGCCATGAGTCTAATCCCAAACTGAACCAAGCAAAACAGTTTTGGATCGGGGCACTAGACACTTTACATGTACATTCAGACTCAGGACCAAATTCAGACAAAACATGCACTTCTCACTGTTTCTGCTTATAGAAAAGATCAGTAGGGATTTTTCAGCAAGAGATCTCTCTGTCTGGAGGACAGCAACCTCCTGCAGAGCTGTTCTGATGCTGTTTTGTTCCTCACTTTTTCCTCTGCATTTCTTCCCCAAATTCTACATATCACAAAGCAGCAATTCTTATCTACCTGACATAGACTGGCTCTTCCAGTGTTTCCAAGGGCTGGTGAGTACGTGGGATCTTACACACCGGGCAGGCCGATGCCGAGTCCGTAGGGACAGTGAAGAGGCGGCGGTTTAATCGGTAACAATAAACACCTGCCACAGAGTAATGAAACATCATGGTATTTCTAGTTGGTCAGAAGGTTCCTCAAAGCAGTCAGCAAAGTTATGTTTCTACCACACTGCCACACATGCATTCTACAGAAAGAGCTGCTTTTCCTGAAGTATGTTTTACATTTCCTGTCCCCAGGTAAGTTCCTAAAAAGCAAAACCAAAACTTCAGCCTCATTAAAAAGAGAATGTTAGCCAATTACAAGAAACCTTGACAAAGATGACACTGATTGAGAGAGGACTTCCAGAAGACTCAAGAATCTTGGGAGCAAGAAGTTTGATCTGGTTTAGAAGCTACAGCTAAAAATAACACATTCTTCTTTGTCTCACATGATTGTGCAGCTCTCTTGGAACAAGAGGCAAAGACTGCTCAGTTGTTTGTTCACTGAAATTAATTAGGAAGAAATCTGGTCTTACACTTATGGGAACCAGGTATCCGGGCTGGTTCTTTTTCAGGAACTATGTTATCCAGATCACTGGGTCTAAAGGAACATACAAACAAACCAGTTAGTGACAGGGGGGCAGGCCCTCTGAACAGCACCACCTTTTCCAAGTATCTATTTCTGACTGGGAGGTAAATAAAGGCCTGCAAAGCCACCCTCACAATTTCCCACTCCCATCAGACTACACTTTGCATTACTCTAAAGGGATACATTGCTGCTTCCCCCATGCCCACTTACTCCAGGTGCTGCTCATGAATACATGCTTCTTTGTTGGCCTGTCGGAACGCATGAAGCTCAGCAAAGTATTGATCAGACTTTTCTGCTACCAAAGAGTTTGTATCTAGGAGCCCTGAGAACACCAAGAAAAGAGAACAATTCAAGGATTTACTGAATTTGGGAAGGCACCAAAGGAAGCCTAATGCAAAACAGTCAAAACAATCAAAGGTCTAAAAGCACACCACCATGTCAAGCCAGACATTTACCACGTGTTTGGGGCCCTCATTGCATTCAATAATTTCAGTTACTTGGTATCCCCTCTGAGAGCTTTGCTTCAGGGTTAGGATTCACCTGCAATCCAGTCATAGCCCAAGAAAGGACACACAGACGAGGTGCTCCTAGGTATGGGATACTCTTCAGAGTCAGACTGGAAAGCCACAGGATCAGCTTCCTTCAGGAAAGAAAACAGTCCATAAAGACTTGCTACACTTCTACCAGGATATGCAAAAGCACAGCTTAGGTGATAACTGACAGGTGCTCAAATGGGACAGTTGTGGCTTAGTTTGAGGCTGGATTCTATCTATGCCTACCAATAGTTTGCTCCCCAGCCCTTTGTCTTTGCAATTTGTAAAGGAGAAGCAGGAGGCAGAGGACTCGCCTAGGCTAAGGCAGTATTCTTCAGGGCTTTAAACAAAATGCTGACTTGCCTGCACCACACATCCCAAAACACCACGCCACCCATGCTGCCCCAGAGGATGATAATGGCAATACAAGGAAACAAGCTGTGCAGGAGAAGCACTGCAACAGGATATTCCTCAAGTACATAAATCACACGCAGACGACGAGGAGCCTTGGAGCAAAGTGCCACACCTCTCGTCTTTGGTTCAAGGGCTAAGGAAAGCAGGGCTGGAACAGGCTGCCAACAGAACCTGGCTGCTAAGGCTGACCCCAACTTCCAACTTATACACTAGGAGCAGGGCAAGTAATGTTCTCCTGACTCTTTCTCCCCATCCTTATGAAAATGGGCAAAGCTTTGCTTTCAGCATTTACCTTCAACTCTTTGGACTGAGATGTCAGCAAGACTGATTTACGGTTGATGGGCTTTCTAGTGACCACGTGCTCCCTGCCAGTCTCTTCACTTTGTATCCTGCTCGGTGATGGGTCCAGGTGCCCCTCAAGCTGTTTTTTTTCATGAAAACCATGTAGCACAGTGGGCTGTTTTCTGTTCTCTCCATGTCCCAGAAGGAAAGATTCTTTCTCCAGACTTCCTTGAGCATGGCCATCCTTATCCACTCCAGAGGTTTCTCCGCCGCATGTAATGATTGCAGACACTGGCACAAAATTCTTCTCTTTCCCAGGAAAGCTGGAATCCAAACGTACTGCTTCCTGTATCTTCACTTTTTGTTTCTGCACCCCTCTGTCTTTGCTGCTGTGTTTAAGAGATGAACAGAGGGCTGCTCTGGCTGCATAAGCCCCAGGTTCCACAGACACCAACATTGCAGGGTCAGCTGTAGATTTAACAATATCAACCTGTTTTTCACTCTGTAAGGACAGAGACACACACCATCATTCAGACTACAAATACCTTTCATTAGGGCATTTTACTCAGTAAGAGAAAATCAACCTGTTAATCTACTCTACTCACCCCTTCAAATTCCTGCAGGGGAAAAAACCAAAATCCTTATATTATTAGAGACATTATTGTTTGGAAAACATAAGAGAGGGATCCACTTCTAGCTAAAAGCAGCTTTTCCCAGTCTGAGAAAGTGCTAAACTTTCAGCCTTTGTCCTTAGAAGAAATAAAAGGTTCATCCCTATCTTAGATTAAGAAACCTACATTTCTTAGGCAGGAACTGATCTCTGAATCATTTGCAAAGACAAAATACTGGAGAGACCACACGATAAACAGTAAAAAAAAAATCTAGCTACTTTTCTAACAATGTCTATCTGCATTCCACTTTCTTCCAGCTCCTCCATGTCCATATAACTCCTTCACCACACTACTACACAGGCACACCTGCTGCCTAAGGCCCCTTTTTTTCCCAGCACTTTTAGCACAGACACGACACATACCCCTCTCTTGGGCAAGGGGGCAGATCTGTAAGTAGCTGCTCTATAATGGAGAGATGCTGGAATGAGAAGTTTGCTGGGAAGTCTTCTTCTGATCTCTTCCTGCTTTGTTCTGAGCCTTTGTAGAAGGTCCTGGTTGGCCTGACGCAGCCTCTTCAGGTGCTCTAACTCCATCCTATGAAAACATTTTCCTGTGAAGTCAGAGGAAAGGTGAGCTAGATAAATGGAAGCATTAAGAAGCAGACCCAAGAGATGCATAAAACCCACTTACAACTCTACGAACATTAGGAGTGTTGATCATAGCTCCTGAGAAATCAGCCAATCTCAAAACTCTTACCATAAAGAACTACCACCACTGCATACTTCTCTCCCTTCAGATGTACTCTCAGATATTTTGCACCCAGAAACTTGTAGTTGACTGAACAGACAAGATACTCTTGAAGAGGAAACAGCAAACATGAAAGAAGTCACATTAAAAAACAAAATAAGAGCCATTTTATATTTAGGATAACTTTATGCAATTCTGCTTTAATGTTCTTTTTAAGCATCAGTATTTATATTGTGATAGTAACAGCATGCTCATAAGTTCAAAATATGAATAATGAACAGTCAAAAGAAGTATTAAACCAAAATGTTCTCCATGTTTCCCAAGCAGAATGACTCCAAAAGGCTCAAGAGCCCTCAAGACCAGGGCTCAGTCAGTTCCAGTCCCACACACTAAGGGTTAATGCCCTTTTATTAGATTGGAGGAAAAGGGAGCTAATAAAAAAATAAAACTTAGTTTGACTGGAAGGCTGTCACGCTGTTCAACACGTTTACAAGGTCACAAGCTGCCCTAAATTTGCAGAAAGGTGGTGGGTTTTTTTATTAAATACAAAACTCTAACTCCAAACCCCCACATTGTTTCTGGTTAGTGATTAATTATGTTCCCAAGAAAATGATGTGGTTGCCTGGGACCTTTTGCTCCAAAGGATGCTTAAATCCTTCTCCAAAGTTAATGTGATCCGTTTTTGTCTGCTACCTTTGCAACTGGATATGAGGAATCTAACGCATATTGCATATAACAGCAATAGAAGGGTGAGCAGTGGTAACAATCAAAGAAGTGTAACATGTTTTGTTAGAAGAAATAAGTGAGAGGTGTCCTACCAGACATAACATAGAAACACACTAGTCTCCAGGCACTGAATTTGAGATAATTGGAACAAAACAGAAGTTATCACAGTATTCACAGGACAAAGCTAACTGCATTCTTTCATCATTGCTCGCTGGAAGGTTAATACTCTGAAAATAACATTAGTCAAGGGACTTTCTGAAAGGGTTTTACCAGATGAGATCCACTCAGCATAATCTATAAGAAGCCGTTAGTCCTTCAGGCTCAACCCCAGGCGCTCAAGCATATGAAACTGCTTTAGTCTGAAACCTTTACAAAAATAAACTTAGCAGTTAAAAATAAACAATGGTTGTCTCGGGAGCTATGAACTCCAATCTCCGCAAGAAAGCTAGCAGAGCTTCCGGGAGCTGTTTCTGCGCAGACGCGCTGGTTGGGCTGTCCCATGCCTAGGGGGAAGGGGAGATGACCCTGGGCATTGTTAAACTCCTTCCCTCTCCCAGAGGCCAGCCTGGCAGCCGCCGGAGCCGGGCAGCTGGCGAGGCTCACCGGACCAAGCGGCTCCAGGGCTGCAGACGTTCAGACCCCCGCACCGCTCCGCCCACACCGCGTTTTCAGGCCCACCTGCCCTCCGAACCGGCGGTTGCCCCGCGATCCCGGGCCGGGGGATCCCCGCCTTCGCTCCCGCCCCCGCCGGGATTCCCCCGGGCAAAAGCTCCAAACTGCCTCCTGTGGGGTTCACAGAACCTCCTCAGCTCATTGTCCGCACCGACCACGCACCCTAGCTCCCCCCGAAGCCAGAAGGGAGCTGCTTGGAAAACTCACCAATGAAAAATCTGCCTTTTTCTAACACAAACTAATCAACTGAGAACACTGACTCAAAAGTTCCATCTACCAGCACATTTGCTGGCCGTTACTTCCTGCAACATTCTCAAGAAATCACTGATTCGATACCATCGATTTAGTGTAACTTCAGAGAGAATCTCAAACTTTCTATCAGATAATTCAGTATCACTGGTCTCCTTGTTAATTTTCATAGTACAAACGCAGATTAAAGGCCACTACTGTCAAACATGCAATTTACAGCAGCTTATCATCCTCTGAATACATTATACTTACACTTGAAGACTGTATCATTACATGGAGAACACATCGGGGTAAATAGTTTTCCAATTAACTTTTATTTGGTTTCCACTGTTTACAGCATTGATACAGGAATAATTCATGCAAATGTATCACCTTAAATACAGCAGAAAGAAAACTCACTGGTAAGAGTATTTTGAAGAGCTCCATCAACATAACAAAATGAGAAAAATAAGTAGCAGCAATAAGATAAAGTGCCTTTAGCTGACCTTCTTTAAAAAGAGTATGGGTAAGATTGGTTTAGAATTACTCATTGTAAGGATTAGTTTATCTGTCTTTATGAAAAGCAGAGAACAGCCTCCTTGTTGATAGTGTTCAATCCTCCACCACTCTGAATTAAAGAAGTACAGCTATGTTTTCTTTAAGAGGAATCCAGCTCATAGGCCTCTCAAAAGATTGATTCTCTATCACTCGGGCTTCTAGGGACTAGGGTTACACACATAAATAAAAATTTTCCTGCCATGTTAACAGTTTTGTTTCTTAAAAAAATCAAGTGGTTCTTTTCCCTGTTGTATAGGTTTCAGCACTACAGTGAGAATGCCTGTATCACCAAAATCTGAACAGCATTAGAAACACACACATTGGCAACACACCAGATTCTAAGAACCCATCAATCTCTTTTCCCTTTACAGGTCACCAGTTTAGAGACAAACTCATGTGTCACATTTCCCTTAAAGGCCCACTGAAAGGTCAGCATTTCAGGTAGCCCAGAGCTGCTGAGCAGCAATACTTCATCATCTCCCTCTATCTGGAACTGACAATTTCCTGGTGTATTAGGGATCGGTTTAGTGCTTTAACTCAATAGTGTTAATATATAGCCTATTATAAATGTGTATGGGATAGCCTGAGAAACTAGAGATCTGAATTTATTCATGTAGTACCTGCAGCAGAGTAACAGTAGATGATTCCACTTACTCCAGCATACTTCACCACAAGCCTAGAAATCACATTTCCAAAGGCAAAGACTCAAAATTTTACTTCCTCATTCCCAGATCTGATCCAAGCTTTAAGTTCGGCTGGTTGCCTGAAGAAACCAACCAAGGCCAGTGAAGCCCTCTGATGAAAATGGCTTTTCAAGTTTGGGTTGGATACAAAGCTAATAGGAGTGAAAAGTTTGCTTTGCTTCCTGCATTCCGGGGACGTAACAAGAGTCTCACTACTAACTACATTATCAAGAGACTTCAAGTCTTCCTGCAGATCTCAGAATAGCCTGAAGTACTTACTGGTATTTCACTATTTTTACTCCCTCACGAGTCGGGCAGCTGCTTCTTTCTGGAACTTCTGTGACATATAAAACATGGGACTTGTCACAAGCACATGTTCAGACCTGAGCATGAACAAGAAATCTTAAGGCAGCTGATACCATTTTCAAGTGAAAAGTCTCATTGTCAACAGGAAAAAAACAAACCACTCTTAGTAGTTGTGAATTCAGCTGGGACCTGCTCAAAGATAGCCCATATTCTCTGACGTTTGGTGCTGAACAGATTTAGGTTGTCACTAACCTCAGGAATACAGGATCTGATTCTGGATTCCTCAGATATTTCGTGGGGAACAGAAAGGTTGTACCCAAAAGATGGCAAAATATTGACCCACTAAGTGGAAAAGAAACTTTGCAACATAGGAACCTAATCCTCTTACTACTGAAATCAGTGGTAATTTCTCCGCTTTCAATCCCAACCGGAACAGACTGAAGTCCTTAACAATTCTCAAATCTTAAACTCCAAATTCAAAATGGCTTTAGGGCAAAACTCAACAATAAATTTCATCCATTTGCAAATACAGAACATCTTTGGAAAAACAAGTTGCCTTAACCCACAGGATGCCCTGGCATGAAACACAAGGGGGCAGGTCTCTCTCCCTGCCCCACAAGAGCTGCACTTACCAGCTCATTCTCATACTTATAACAGAAGAGGAACAACATCAAATCATATTACCGCAGACTGCAAAATTCTATGGGAACTCTACATGAGGCAAAATCTCTTCCAGCTTGTAATCCACATGCTGTTCTTGTGGACAAATAGTGGTAATGGAATTCCAGAGGCCTGCTTCTAGAAACACAGCTGTGCATTTCCAAAAAAACCCCCATGCTCATCGATTTATCTCACAAAGCAGTTCATTACATTCTGTCAACTAGCTTCTGTTTCCTATTTCTCTTCCTCAACAAGATGCCAGATTATCAGCACTATCCCCTTCACAGGAGCTACTTGTCTTTGTCCATGACATGAAACAGGCCAGACTGCATTATTAAATGCTCTTAATAGGAAGAAACTAATTCTAAAGACGGTAAGTTTACCAAAGCAAAATCTTAGTCCCTTTTGCTCCAGAAGAGAACTACGTTTTGTTCGTAGGTTTAAACAAACTGACAGTAGTAAATCTTCTATGAAGGGCCACGGTGATTTCTGTCATGGTCTGTAATAACAGAATATTAACCTAGGAGATAGGCCTGCATGGACTATAAATGCATTGTGAAATCATTACACATCTGCGTGTGTGGGATCTGTCTTTAGGCAAATGGCTGCTTGTCACACATACATAAACCTGGGGCTTGGAAGTCTAAAGTTCTGTCATCATGTAGCAAAATTAATGACTCCACAAGGACATGTCAGGCTAACTTTTAACCTGACAAACATTTCTTTTAGATTTGTTACTGTATTTGGTTTTGCTTTAAAAAGCCCCCTGTAAATGTATGAAGCACACATTCCTTCTGAAGTAGCCAGGTCTCACAAGGAGGAAAAAGAGGAGTTATAAACAGCTAGTGTTTAGAGGTGGGACACAAACAGGGAAGCAGAATCCTATTGTTCACACAGCACTGGAAACGTAGCAATAGGCTCTTGCTCGTTCCCTTGAGGAAATTCCATCACCCACCATGTTCTCTGCAGTAATTAAGAGAGCACTGACAGGAAACAGTGTTGGTTTTCTCTTC